AAAGGAAAAGAAGAAGCGTGAAGCCAGCGGAGAAAACAAAGCTCCCTCGTGAATAGGAAAAAGAGGAAACGAAGAAAGAGAAAAGGAAAAAGAAAAGCATGAAGCCTGCGGAGAAAACAAAGCTCGCCCTTAAATGGATAAAAGAGGAAAAGAAGAAAGAAAAATTTTCACGCGTAGCCGTTTTGGACATCCCGACAAGTTGAATCAACTTCGAATTGCAACGCCTGATAAATATTCAAGCCCGGCCCATTATTTATCTAATCGGAGCAATTTTCAAAATTAGATCGTAAATCTAAAGTTATATCAATTTTGAACTGCGAGATTCAATTTAGGAGTTATTGAGCTGTGAATTTATATATAAATGATAGTTTAGGATGTTGTGGAGTTGTAAGGTTTGGCAAAATTTGATTTCAAAGTATAGTTTGATTGGAACAAATTGATAAAGTTTCGCATAATGCGCAATTCATGTAGAGGACAATGATGATCGTTCTCTATAAATGACTTTCTTTGTTAGCGCATAGGAGTTGTTTTATCGACGATTAAGCATAGTGTAGATGATTTGTTAGTTAAAGTAGAGTTTTACTTGGTTTTGATTTCATATTTCAATTAATTGACAGGAAGACGAGTTCGCCGATTTGAGTAACCTCTGTGGGTTAGTTTTCACCTTTCCTAGGTGAGTGGTACTGTCTCTTCAATGAATTTACAAAATCATGTCTCAAAAGTGATAGAGATTTAATATAGTATAAGTTATGAAATAGCATATTTCTTGCATAAATTGGATCGAATTTTTACTACATTTTTGTCGATTGACAAGGTATTGGACGACATTATTTGAAATAGTTTGAAATGATCATTTGTAAATGTCTTAATTAAATGCTTTGTGAAAGGAATTGCCAAAAACTATATGTACTGATTTGTGAAATGCTTCATGAAATACTTTTTATTTGATAAATGAAATTGTGAAAAATTATATAATTCGGTCTATGAAACCCATTTATTATGTGAATTATGGATTCGATTTGCGAGTGATTGGAGAATGCTATTAGTGGATTGTGCTTATATCACTATGATTAGAATCCATGTAGGGAGTATGTATGCATATTGTTATTAGTATGTTCTTCTTAGCCACACCACCGGCTGATATAGGTGTGTTGACACTTGATTTTTAATTCATTTTTTTTCATATTTCCAAAAATCTCAAAATTAGGATACTAATCTTGGCAAAGCCTAGAAACCTATATCCAAACTAAAAATGATTTTTTTAGCATTTTCCTGAATTTTTCTTTAATTTTTTTAGTCAAAATGAGTGAGAAAATCAAGAAAAAATAGCAAATGGAATCAGAAAATTTCATAAAAATAATCATTAGTCTTATTTTAAATCCAATTTCATCAATGCATCATCAATTTTAGAAAATCTCAATCGGGCATGTGTTTCTCCCAAAATTGGGCAAAATCAAACCCGAATTGAACCAAAAATGCAATTAGATATTTTCCAGTCATTTTTAAGTCATAGTATCTTCATAACAAATGATTCTGGGACCTTGAATTACATAATGGTCAGTCCAATTGCACAATTTGTTAAATAAATCAGAAAACCCCAAAATTCAATTGAAAATTAGAAATTTTTGAATCCAAATTGGGAATCGTGTCCAATTCGAAATTGTCGAACCATGAGACCATCAATTCTAGGGATAATCAGATGTGGGTAATTCAATTTTGGCACCAATTTTGCCTAATCAGGTCATTAAGGCATTGAATTGAACAAAATCCTAATTACCCGAATACAAAAGTTCGAAAATCTTGGACATGATTTTGTCAAAAATTAGGGAAAATCACATATTTGGATTTAGAATGTTATGAGGAATTCAATTTTGGGATTTAATTTTGAAAATTCAGTTGAAATCGGGCTTAATTTGAATTTTTAGTCAAAACCAGACCGCGGGTCGGCCAGGTCAACTCGACCCAACCCGGGTCAGCCTTCTTCTTCACCCGGTTTGCCCCAAAACATGATGAACCCAGAAAATATCTTTTCGGACTTGCGACTTCACCGATTTCCTTCGGTCAAATGAACACGTGTTTGACCCGACTGACAGCTGGAGAATCTACAACTGTCGTCGGAGATCGGTTACAACTAATCGGAAGGCGGTGGCAACTGACTTTGGGCGGGAAAAATCGATCAACAAAAAAGAAAAAGAACATTACCGCGAAAGAGAGAAGGAGTGTTTGACGTAATGCCAGAGAGAGAGAAGAGAGAGAAACAGAGGGAAAAGAGAGAAAACTAGAGAGAGAAGAGGTTAGAGGTCCCCTACCTGAGCGATCGGCGCTGCCCTCGATGGTGGGGCGCCGGCAAATTAGGGTTTGGTCGTGATCTCTCACCTTGCAACTGGTTCAATTCGATCAACCACGAAGGCCTGAAACGTGAGCTCGGCCAATCGGTTCAGAGATGTTTTGACAAAGTCGAGACCTCTAGCTCGAAGTTCTTGTGTCAAGGAAGAGTTCCACGGCAATTGATTAGCTCGGAAACACAGATTTGATCATATTCAGAGAAGGTAAACTTTGATCCTTGTCACGGTTTAGGCGAAATTCCAAAAGATATGATTTAGTTCTATCTTGTTGTCCATGCCATTTTAATTGTAATCTTGGCTTTATAGATGTTCAAAACATGCTTCTGATCATATTTAGTGTTGTTTGATTGCATTTTGGGCATTAAAAATGCATAAATCGAGTCGACCACCCCATGAACCATATTGCCGGAGCATCACCGTGGCCATAGGCTGGTCAAGTTAGTGTTCCTTTACCTTTTGTGATGATTTGATGCATGTTTTGAGTGATCTAGATGGCTAGGGCGGTCAGAATTAGGATTAGCAATTCTGGAAAGTCTATGATTAGAACAGTTTACAAGTTAGACTATTTAGACCGATTTTTCGCCGGCCGGCGAACGTCCGGCGGCACTCTGATTAGGCTAGATCAATACTAGAACATATGAACTTGATGGTGGATCAAAAGAAATGGCGAAATAGTCGCCGGAAGGTCGTCGGAGGAAGGCTCAAAACCACGGCCTCGAGAACTCAAAACAAGAAAATGCACACTAGGTGCTCGGCGAAATGCCGAAGAGAGGAAACAGCCAAATGGTGCCGTTTTGGCATCGTGCTCGCCAGAGAAGGTGACCGGCGCCGATGCCGGCGATTCCCGGTTCGGCTCAGCCAAACCGGGTTGAACCAGCCAGTCCGATCCGGTTCACTATTTCGGCGGGAAAATTCAAAAATAATAATAATAATAATAATAATAATAATAATAATAATAATAAATTGATTAAAGAATAAATAAAATCAATAAAATTAGAAAAAATTAGAAAATTCATAAAAAATAAAAAAAAAATCAAAAAATTTTAGAAAATTCATAAAAATCCAGAAAATTCTGAAAATACAAATAAAAAATGTGAAAAAATTCAGAAAATCTAAAAAAAAATTGGAAAATTCGAAAATCCATAAAAAAATTTCAGAAATTCATAAAAATCAATTCTCGGTTAATGAAATTCTCAGAAATTTAATTTCCGAAAAAAAAAAATTAAAAAAATCCAAAATTTCAAAAAATCACAGAATGGTTTAAAAACACTGTGGCTAACATTGGAAAGTGAAATTTAAATTTTTGGAAGTGCCCAAGTGGCATTTTTAGAAAATCTCAAATTTAGGGGTAATAACCCCTAAAAAACCCTAAAAAGACACAAATCATGGAATGAATAAGCCTTTAGGGCTTCATTAGGATTTGGACGTTTTTGGGTGCATTTTGATTTTTAGAGACAATTTAGGATTGTTTGGTTTGATTGACATTGATTGCGCATATTAATTCTTGATTGATTTCCCCGCAATTAGAATGGATATTATTAGTGGATAGGCCTCGAAAACTTGTGTGACACATTAGACATCATATCGTTCTTAGGTACCGAAAGGGCGTTAGGGATCTCGATTCGAGATCATTAGCGTAACTAAGTCCTCTTACTCAAAATATCTAGTTCGTAGAATCGTGGTATTTCTCCCATACTCCGATTAGGTTTCTAGTCAACCTACCAATAATGACTAGTGGCGACTCCAAAATTGAAAACTTAGACTAAATAGGAAAATACCATCCGCTGTCACTTGAGGTATGGTCTGGGAGAGGCCCTTACCTGGAAATACCTCCTTAGCGCGCAAATCCTGAAAGTCCCAAAAAAAAAGCGCGGCGCGACAAGGTGGAGACAAATCCTAGGGGTAAACTTGGCTGCCTTTATTACGGGTGTTAAGCATGACCACAGTTAGATATTGACCATTAGATTTGATGATGGATTAGATCATTGACGTTTTGATTTGATTGAGATTGATTAATAGAAGAGATTATTGATGATTGATTTGTTATTGTAAGTTGATATTGTTGATTGATCTTAAACATAAAATGTTTTGTTGGACATATATCGTCAACTTTGGATATTTCACGTATATCGTATACCGAATTTGGGATTGATGAATTAGTGAATATTTGATTTGCTTAGCAAAGATGTACTACTCACTAGGTTGTGATTGCTCATTTTATTCATTTTACTTGTTTTTTGGGTTCTTTAGTGAGTCGCAAGTAGGACGAGAGCGCTATCGTTATCAGAGGAGAACATTTCATAGTGGGGATTTTTTGGTATGAGTTGTATATAGCTATGATAAACTTCTACATTAGTTGTTTGTTGGAATATATATATATATATATATATATATCTTATTTTGATGAATTATAGAAATCCTGTTATTGTAATCAAATGACTCTTTTATAAAATATATATGGATGTACATATTTCGATAACAGGTTATTGATAGTTATGTTTGAGATTGCATCCTTCGAGTAGAAAGACTACTCTGTCATTGCCCCTGTACTTGTAGAGTTGGGGGCGTGACAACATCAACCACTAAATGTCATGCTACATTGACCGATTACCCGTGAATGAATGTAAGCTCGAATCAGTACTTTATTTGGAAGACTCTATTCAGTGGCCATTGAGACGGACCAAACCCGGATATGGATTTGTCATTACTCCGAATCAGGGCCTATCTCAATATGAGCTTAGCAATGGCCTGGCCTTGGGTCATCTGGAAATGATCAGTCAGGCCGAAATGAGCCATCATGAGCCAAACATGGGTCAGAAGCTCTCCCCCTCGCCTCAGCTGCCCAGTATGACGATCCCCTCTGCATTGGCTCGCGGCGTAAATCAAAATCTTCACCCAGAGCTTCCCAATCGTTTCCCACTTTATGCCTATTTCTCTCTCTCTTATCGCCGCCACGATCCTGCATCCATCAAACAACACAGACTTGCTCTTTCCGCCCTTCACTTTACTCGGCAGAACCTCGGTGTTCACTTCTAGCAGCATTTTAGAAGCTCGCTGAAGATACGAGTTCATTTCATTACTCTTCCCTCTATTGATCACTAGATTTTGGATCCACCAATTGGGCTCTCGATTAGATTTGGAATTGGGCATTTGGTAATCCTCAAAGAACTTTAAGGCCTCAGCAGAAGTGTCGCGGAGCCTTATTTCCCCAATTCCACTGGGCAGCATGGAAGGGTACATAACCAGAAGATAAAGCATGTACCTGGAGAGAAGCTTGCTCTCCCGATAATGAGGGAGTCTGGATTCATTCCACCCTTCCTCTTGATCCGAGTAGTATGATAGTTCGGTGGCAATGTGCCAAGTCAGGACAACCTGGTCGAAATCCCCCTCGGTGGCCCACTTAACTTGAGCGAGGCCATAACCATCGAGTAGCCTATCGAGAATTTCCTGAAGATCCGTGTAGAGCGGCGCGTGGTGCTCCTCAACAGAGAATAGATCTTCCTTGACATGACGGAAGATCCAAGTCTTAATCTCGTTGGATACGTCTTCATGGAGGGTGTAGTGATACTTCTCTAGCTTCTCCCTGATCTTCAAGAACTCAAGCACATTTTGGCAAACCAAGGGCCTCTCTTTACTGCAAAAGCTGAGCAAGCTGAATTGGGCAATTGAATGTGACCACCTGGGTTGTCTAGGCAATCTTATAAAGTTCACGGCACGGTTCTTGTCGTGCTTGCACAACCAAACTTCGCTCCAATCCGACGAAACCAGCATCAAAACCGAATAGGTCTCGAAGAAAACAATGACGGCCAGTAACAAGTAAGTGATGGAAACATCAACCCTCGACAGGTGAGACTTTTGGGCCCAAGAAAAGAGCACCAGCACCAACAGAGTGGACGAGAAAGTGAACAAGCGGAGTCGGAGTCCCCACTTGGTGTAAAGCACCATTGCCTTCAAGTGGAGCAAATCGTAGATTAACCCAAGCTCGATCTCAACGATCGTAAAAGCTTTCGCACAATCGATCGCCTTGAATATGGACTTGCTAGTATTCCTCTCATCATGGCTGAGTATCAACTCAACAAAGAGGCACTTGAACATCTGAAGCAGGTCATAGGATCTCACAATGACCTCAGAATCATTCTCTGCAGACGAATCTTCACCACTACTATAAATAACTTCAGGCACTTGGACCTCTATCACCTCATCGGCCACGACGTAATGCCCCTCGGCCTGCTTCAAAGTGTACTCCTCCATGAAGCGGGGGTAATTCGGACTCAGATCAGGCGGGGCCAGCATCGACTGCTTTAGCTTGTCGTTGCTTGCCATCCAAAGAGCGCACACTCTCTCCCCGTACTTGACGAGCCCGACCAATGTCATCACCGACGAGAGGTAGGAGAGATAAGAGCTTGTCCAGGCCATGAAGATGATATATGTTGTGGCTGACGTCTGAACCGCTAGGCCAAGGCAGTGCCTGAGCCAGAGTGCATTGTCCTCCAGAGAATAGGAAGTGATTGTGTCAGGGCCACCCAAGAGAATCAGAAGCAGTGAGGACCAGAATGCGTGCAACTTGTCGTTGTCGCCGAGGCGACCGCCATTCCCCTCGTTCACGTCTCCAAGCTTGCTGGAGAGGATGCCGAGGGCGACGGTGGCCACAGAGTCCGCGGTCAGGTACGAAGACCAGACGGCGATCCTGAGCTTGAGATTGTAGCTGGACTTCCTCTTGTGGTCGAAGAAAATGAGTACGATTTGGACCGCTAGTGTGAACACCACCATGGCTCTCAGCTCCCACGAGTTCCAAATTTTCCTCCAGAATTCCGCACGAAGCACCTCCATTATGATCTGTTTTCTGTTTCTGTCACACCCCAATTCTCAGAAGAAAAGGGAAATGACACGGCCACCTTACACCCGAAGGATGCAGCCTCAAACCATTCAAAAGCCAACTCCCAAAAGTCCCGTGGATATCGCTCTCGTGCTACTCATTGCTAGCTAAAGAACCTAAAAAAAGATTGGAAGAAAATGGGGTGAGCAACCATAGCTCAATTAATAATACATTTCTTCCAAGTGGATCGAACATTCACTATGCATCGTTATAAAATGATATGATAACTCATCATCTCAAATTCAATATATAATATACGTAAAATATTGAAAATATACGATAACTTTCCAACAAAACTCTATACGTACGAAATCAGTCATCAGAACATACTCAACAATAACAAACAACCATCAATGGTCTATTCCGTTGATTAATCTCATTAATCACACGTCGATGGTCCATTCTATCGACTAAAATAATGCTCATAATCAAACTATAGTTACGTTTAACGCCGTGACAAAAGCGACTAAGTTTACCCCCTTTGGCTAGGTCTACCACCTATATCAGCCGGCGGTTCGGCCTAAAAGGACGTCCTGACAGTATGGATACTCCCCCCTCAATGGGTTCTCATCACAACGATATGAGCCATATCAACCAAAACATTTCTCCAACAATGCATAATCAACAGCAAAAAGTTATTTCATAAACCTGTTTTACAAACCGAACCAGATAACCTTTCACAAGTCCATTTATCAGTTAGAATGCATTTCATAAAACATTTCGTAATCAATGCATACAGCTTTTACAATTCCTTTCATAAAACATTTAACCAAAGCATTCACAATTGGTCATTTTAGACCACTTCATAAAACATTCTCAATTCCTTTTCAATCAATTAAAAAGATAGTAAAAGTTTGATCCAATTTATACAAAAAACATGCTCTTAATAACTCATACTTATTAAAACTCTACCATTTTCAAAATATGAGTTCGTAAATTCATGGAAGAAATAGTACCACTCACCTGGAAATGCCTACGATCAAACAACAAAGATTACTCGAATCGTCAAACTCGCAATCCTATCCAATAAGCGAAAAACATCGTTAAAATTGAGTAAAACGCTACCTCAACTACGACTCGGCTAAAACTAAGCTTAGATGCTAACATAACGACTAAAAGACGCCCACAAATCGCTCATCCAAAGCGATTACTCGAAGTCATCCGCAACGCGACGCTTGAACGCGAAACTTGATCGCGCCATAACTTCTTCCACTGAACCTCGTTCCAAACGAGCATATAGTCAAAAGAAAGCCTATTCAAAGAACTACAATAACCCCAACTTGACCGACCCAAAATCGAGCCGAAGAGCGACGAAAATCGGCATGGAAAGCAGCTGGTCGCTACTGTTCATCACGAGCGCGCAACTTCAAAAATTCGTATCGAGCAAATCGTAAGTCCAAATCGAGTTCCGTAAGATCCCACGGCCCCTCAACACCCTAAGCTACTAATTCTATATATATATATGTAGCTCATCGACTCAAAAATTGGACATCGCGGCTTGAATTTCACCAAACTCCGAAATTATACCTTAATTCCAAAAAAATACTCCAATTGGACAAACGAGGGGCGTGAATACTTACCGGACATTGCAATACGTTATTGATCTGAATTGATGAGGCTTCCGTGATGTGAGTCTTTCCTCTTTCTTCTTCTTCCTTTTCTTTCTCTCCCTTTCTCTCTTTTTCTTTCCTCTTCTCTCTCCCCTGCTCTGCGCGAGCTCTTGGTTAAAAAGAAAGGAGCCGAGCATCCACTGTTGCTGCTTTTTTGACTTTTCAACGTTTTTGGCTCCTCTTGTTTCTCTGAGAAAGAGAGACGGACGAGTTGGTGATAAGAACTTGGAAGTTAGTAGGAAATATGCTCACCGAGAGTTAGTTCACCCAGTTGGACTTTAAATATGCTCAAGCATTTGTTCACTTTTTAATCAAAAGGAAATAGGCCTGAACACGTCATATTGAAGCCGAATTCCTCGTAAATTGGAAATTAGGAGTTTTATCGTAAGTGACGTGCAGTGCTTCTTGATCTGGATCGAAAGTATTGTGAAAAAGCAATTCATCGAATAATGAATAAATAAAACAAAAAAAAAGTGGTTTAATCGGTGAGCAGTACATTATTCCATTATAAATCAAGCAATACAATGCATACTACAACCACACTCGAGTCACTTAAACACTCTAAGTATTTCTTATCCCCAATGACACTTGATAACTCACATGATGTCTTTTCTCATAATTTATTGCGAAACTATATCTCAATGTCGCAGAGGAATTACACAAAATCTTAATAAAAGATTTTCATGATTTCAAATACTCGGGAAGTAATTTACGAGCACGTTGCACAATCAATTGTTACGGTCCAAAGCTCCTCTTGAATGCTACATAATGTAATTCACAAAAAAAAGTCGCATATTGGATGTAATTCACCAAGACGAATCACTACTTATAGAAGAAGTGGATCCAAAACATGTTACCCACTCAAACTAGAAATCTTTGACCCAAAAAAAGAAAACTAGAAATCCAAGTCCAATTAAAAAACCCACTTGTTTTTTCATAAGCTCAAAATTGAGATATATTCTTAACAAATAGGTTAGGTGAGGCGTGGTACGAGGCCTAGCTCCAGATGGCCATGCTTATAAAACTACATGAATTTCTATACAAAATAAGCCAGATTAGGCAGGCCGAGGTGAGTAGGCTAGGCCTAAGAAAATTGCTTTCCTAGATCCGTCTATTTTGCCCCTCGGCTCGAACGGATCGAAGCGGGCCCAATGAACTAACCTCATGTTGATCAATTCTAGTCTTGTCATTGACGAATGGTTGATAATTTTATGAAAACCGAGAAGTTAAAATATTTATTAATTCAAATGGCAAGGCTAGATTGTGAATAGCCTTTGTTGTGCCAAATCATTCATGTTATATTATACAGACCCAATCTATATAGATCAATGCCATTATAGCTATTGATCATGCGGGCCTCACAGCGAGACCCACACATTCGGTGGCTATGATGGTATTAATCTACATATAGTATCTACATGACTTTTTATAATATTAGCCCATTTATCGATGATTGACTTGCGATGAGTTATATCGGCGGCTTCTGACACAATTTTTTCTATAATTTTGTCTTTGCGATGTTTTTTTTGGTTTGAGGTCAGGTAAATTAACAACGATGACAAATTTGGGAAAGGTATCCGAGAAACATTTACAATAATGGAACTAGACAAGGCCAAAAGTAAAGTCTGGAACACGAAGGACAAAATTTTGCGGTTATTAAAGAGAAAAGACTAAAGCCACAAGAATGAAAAAAAAAAAGAAAAAAGAAAAAAGGAGAACAAAAACAAATGAAAGTACTTTTATTTTTGGTCGAAAAACAAATGAAAAGTACTTCAGATTAAAGAAATGTTTACAAATAATTTAAAAATAAATGAAATTGGCATTTCAATAAATGAGGCATATTCAATCACTCCTTAGGAACTTATCACATCATTTTATAAATATATTTTTCTACATAAATTTTTCTAAATATTCGTTATTTATGTTGAAATAGTGTCGGTCTTAGTTTCGGGAATTGGATTAGACCGGTAAGATGACAATTGATTTGGACCATGACTTTCATGGGAAGAGGATCACATTTTTTTTCCTTTTTCTTTTTTTTCTAGGGCAAGCGTGATTTGGTAAAGGGACCAAGAGATATTGACCCGCTTGTCCATTAATCAATTCTAGTCTTGTCACTGTTGAATGATTGATAATGACATGAAAACCGTGAAGTTAGAATGTTTATTACTTCAAATAACAGGTTTAGATTGTGAATAATTTTTGTTGTGGCCCATATGATATTGGTGTACATAAACTACTCACGTAATAACTTCTCGTGGTACTAGCCGATTTACTGACGATGAGTTATCACGGTGCGTTTGCGACACAAACTTTTCTATTTTTTCTTAATCAGATTCCTTTCAATTTTAGGTCGGGTAAGCTAACAATGACGACAAGTTTGCGCAAGGCATCCGAGAAACGTGAAACATGTCACTGGACAGCACCAAAAGTAAGTTCTGGAAACATGAAGGACAAATATTAAAGTACCATTAATTATTAAAGAGAAAAGACAAAAGTCACAAGAATTTGAAAAAAAAAAGGTAAAAAAGAATAAAGGACGAAAGTACTTCAAAATTAAAGACAGGAAAAATATCACTAAAAATTCTAAATTATGCTTATTACGGCATATTTCCCATAAATTTTTTTTTATGATAAAAAACTCTAAACTATGCACATTATGACACATTTATCCAAACTTTTTTTATGACATCAAAAATCTCAAACTATGCACATTGTGACACATTTACCCTCCATTAGGGTTCCGTTAAAAATCTCCGTTAAAACTCTGACGTGGCGCTTATGTAGAGCTCGAGTTGCGCCACATCAAAAAAAAATTAAAAAAAATTTACTGCTCATCATCTTTAACCTTGCGATCACTCAGCCGGAGCTCTTCCGTCACTGCCCACTGCCGCTTTTACCTCTGCGGCGAGCCTTCGGACGACGAGGCTTGTTGTGCGACCCCTCGTGCCCGTCCTCTCCATCCCTAGGATCTGTTATGCAGAAACACGGTTTCCTCAACCTCATCAAAAGCAAAAGCAGATGACTGCGGCCTAATACCTGGGCTCTTAGCCTCGGGACTTAGCCTTGCCCTCCCACCTCCATTGGCCAAGAGCCTAAGACGATGACGAAGTTGAAGACGAACATCCACTTCGGCCAAGCTTCGCCCTCAGGTCAAGCTTCGAGCTCGAGCGGCCGCCATGGCCAAGCTTTGAGCTCGAGCGGCCATGGCGGTCGCAAGCTTTGAAGCCAAATCCAATCTCGAAGCTCGCGGCCATGGCCGTTGCAAGCTTGGAAGCCAAATCCGATCTCAAAGCTCGTGGCCGCCATGGCCAAGCTTTGAGCTCGAGCAAAGCGGCCATGGCGGTCACAATCTTCGAAGCCAAATCCGATCTCGAAGCTCGCAGCCATGGCAGTCACAAGCTTCAAGCTCTCCCAACCATGGCAGTTGCAAGCTTCGAAGCCAAATCCTTTCTCGAAGCTCGCTACCGCCATGGTCGGCAGCTATGACG